AAAAAAAAAAAAAAAAGGACAGAGAACATGAAATGGAAATTTCTCTTTGTACGACGATGGTTCGTTTAATATCGCCGAGCTAACCTCCGGGGATAAGTTAAACTTCGCTGTGAAATCTGAAAGAAAAAAGAGAAAGAAACGCGAACAGCAAGATTTAAACCGACTTCACGATCTTGAAAAGGTTCTTTCCAGCCGTTCCCGGTATAATCCACCGAACGGGGAACATGTTCACCCCGAGGAAACTTTCGCTCCGAGGGAACTTGAAATTTAACCGGGGAAAATTAGTCAAAGTTCCGGCGGTGGTGGAGCGCGTCCGTCCGTTGAACGACGGCAGGCGACAATCGGCTCGGTCGAGAAGTCTGCCAACAAGTAAATACCTTTTCAGCCGGGAACTTGCCACCGTTTGTTCCAGATATTGGGTACGTTTATTTTAACGTAACTGCCAACTATTCGGCGACCTATCGGGGTCCTCGGGCCGATTTCTACCAGTCGAATTGAATTATTCCGCAGCGAGGCTAATGAACTCGCCGGCAGGATTAATTGCGTCGGCGTTCAAAACGTCGTGTAACGAAAAAACTTGTCGAGATATAATTGCCGCTCGCGCCGCATACTTACGCCCAGAGTTACAGAATCGAAACCAGAATCAAGAGGCGAATTACTCGGTTTTAAGTTCATCAACGCCTCGTTTCTGATTACATTCACCGGCCGGCGGGGATTAAATTGAATATGCATCGAAGATGTTTCCGTTTCTAATTAAGGAAATCCGAGCCCGTCCGGCTCCGGTTATTAACGCCGTTCTTTTTCTTTTAAATGATTTTTATATTTGCTTTGCACCTCCGGGACGAGCTCGATAAGCAATGCAAACGTGCAAGGAGAAATTGGAACGAAAGTTTCCTTTCGTGTAGATGTTTCTGTTTAATGAAAAAAGGGTAGGCAGATAGTGCCGATCGGTGCAATTAAACTGATTCTAATTCGTAAAAGTAAGATTTTTATCTCGGAAGTAGAACTTGCGAGAAGCGTTTAAACTGCAGCTTCCTCAATTACGTAATTAGTTTCTTAATACAGGCGACGTACAAACGAGGTGCTTTCACGTCGGGGGAGATCTAAATGAATATAAGTTAAAGTTGCGTTAAACTTCGTCCTTAGATTAATTCGACTCTTTACAAATTGGTGGAAACTTGCAAGTAACGTTACTCAATCATTCCGGGAGTACCATTTAAGCACATTTCTTTGCCAGATGCGAAACGTTTCAACATCTCGAGAGAAACAATACCGCAAAATCTTTTGTCGAAACACGGGGGCCCGTGTTACCGGACGCCCCTTCACTTTATACGAAACTTCTTACATAAGTGTATCAAAACGAAGGAAGGAAAAATGGCTTACGCAACGTAAAGCTGAACGAATGGCGAAAGAAAACCGAAGCAAAGGACTGACGAGAGAGCGAAGAATTCTCGTTGTTTTTTGGAATCTTAATTGTGAATTTCTGGCGTTTCGTCATCATAACA